TGAGAACTAAGGAAAAAACTGGGGAAGGCACACCCAGAGGGAGGCGTGGCTAAAGTTTTTTCTTTCCTTAGTTCTCTGCTAAGCAGGATTGCATTAATAACCCATTCTGTGGACTCTACACCACTCTGCTGGAGAAAGAGCGGAAGCCTCTGCTCTTGTCACTGGAGCTCCGTGAAAATCCCTCAAGCCCTCAGCCAGTCAATCTGGGGCAGCACTGATTCCAGCGCTGTTAAGATGACCGTGGAGATCAAGGAAGAAGGATCCACGAGTGGGATAAATCTAATACAACCTGCTGCTAAGCTGGGAGCCAAAACTGTCACGTCCGTCTGGGCTGCAGACTACGTCAAGACTGGGAGTGTCCTGGTCCAGGAGGGGTGTGACAGGTTTGACTGACTTAGTCTAATGGGCAGGAAGACAGAGTTAACCCATTTGTGGATTCTCCATCTCCTATGCTGGAGAATACAAATCACCAACTTTTCAAAATATTTCAGTAGTTTAACTTAAGTTTATGAGGTGGTCTAGATAACATTCATTAGGTCTAGAAAACATTCATTTTGAAAATATCACATTCTGAATTCCAGAAAGTGAATATCAGAATGTTATTATATTTATCAGATATATTTATTCTTGTTGGCCTGTTAGGGGGTTCATAAAAAAAATGTTCAAGTAAGCTGCAAAAATTTAATATCAGTGTAATCAAGGAGACTTGCTCAAACAAATGTCTATTTGTTTCTTTATTATTTCACTTAAAATAAGCAAAAGAAATCAGAATTCTGAAGCATTTCTAAAAGAAACTACAGTCATTCCCACTTTGTTCTTTGTGCTTGTTTTTCAGGGAAAAATAAGAGGCACACTCAGAACAAAACAATGTATATCAGCCACTGTAGCAGCCACTATAGGAAGCCAAAAAGATCAGTTTATCTTCAACCATGCAAGTTCAATGGTTGATTTCCCCATGCTAGCTATCAGGCTAGCTACCATAAGTTTGTGGAGAAAAAGTATTATATAAATAAAGCATGGTTCTCAGTTACTACAGTGTATAAAGATGAGTGCCAGTCCCTTTGTTGGTAGTAAAATTAATATCCGTAGACCAATGTTACCAATAGTATATCTTATACTAGCTTTCCATTAAACAAAAATATTGTGAAACAGCATCCCAACCTCTGCATTTAGATTTGTCCTTTATTCTGTAAGTATCTTCAGATAAGAGTTAACATCCTAAGATTTTTAAGGTAAAGATTATTAAAAATAACTGCAATTAAATATAAATAAATAAATAAATTGCACATAGTATCAAATGTAGTAATAGTCTTCAATGATGCAAAACCCTTAAGTTATCCAAGAACCATTTTTGGAGGATTGGGATTTTTAACTTAGCTAAACTATATAAAATCTTAACTTCAAATTTGTATTATTTGAAGAGGAAATGCAAACTTACTACTTGCATAAGAGCGACTGTCATCCTCACACATTTTATTCAATTGTTGATACTCTTCTTGTGCTAGCTCAAATCGCTGCTGCTTAATTTGATAAATTTCCATTTTGGCATTAAGTGCTTCCTGAGCGACAATTAAATATTCCTTTAACATGCATTCCTGTTCTCTTCTCCATTGCTCTCTTGGGTCTTCAATTTGTGTGAGTTCTAATTAGAAGAAAAAAAGTGTTCCAACATGTTAAATGAAAAAACAGAGAGATGTCCAAAATTCACATATTATGGCAACTAAGTCATATTTTTATTTAAAAAAATAAAACCAATGTCCAAAACTATACCAACATTTAATTTAAACTTAAAAAACTGTATTCTATCCAGTCTACTAGAACTTCAAAGAAACGTATTTTACAACCAAGCTACACAAGGCGTAATGCTAAATAGATAATGATCTGAATCAACCTAACAATTAGATATAATTTTATCATTGCTTCCATAACCTGCTCCATTTTCTTCATTTTTTGCTCAACTTGAAGATACTGAAATATTTACTTTATTTTGTAAGTCCTCGGCTTACAACTTTAGTTTAGTGACCATTTGAAGTTACAATGGCACTGATGACCATTTTTCACACTCACGACCATTGCAACATCCCCATGGTCATGTGAACAAAATTCAAATGCTTGGCAAGTAGTTCATATTTACGACAGTTGCAGTATTCCATGGGGAAGCCAACTGTGTTACTAACTGGAAAACTGTAGTGATTCATGTAGCACAGTGGTTCTTAACTTGTGGGTCGTGACCCCTTTGGGGGCCGAATGACCCTTTCACAGGGGTTGCCTAAGACCATCGGAAAACACATATTTCCAATGGTCTTAGGAACTGAGACACACTCGGCTGTAGCTCCGTTCCCCTTTCCTAAATAAAGATGTCTTTCGCCTCCTTGGATTGGCTCGCAGCTCCCTACTGCAGCTTCTGAGAGAGAGAGAGAGAAAGAGAGAGAGAGAGAGAGAGTCTCACCTTCTACGCATGTGCACCTTTTTCCTCCCTTCCCTGAAAAAGCTGTTTTGCGCCTGCGTGCTCGGGAGAACCTCTGGCCTGGAGACCGTGTGAGTGATGGGGGTTGGGAGAGAAGAGGGAAGGGCTCACGGAATTACAGCAATTTCTATCCTTTACTGAAAACAAAGTCCTCCAGGTTTCATGGAGGTTTCTCCCAAATGTGTAGAGGAAATTTGCAGATCGGGCAAAAAGTAATAATGCTTTATTTTAAAATTCGGAATTTGGAGAACTGGAGAGCATAGGCAACTCTCTCTTTATCCTGATACACTTTCTGCCTTGGCTGGAGGGTGTCTTTTTTTTCTTTGAAGACCTTAATGTAGTTCCAGTTCCCAGGTTTGAAGTTGTTGCAAGCCTAATCTGGATCCTGTAGCAAGCAAATCTAGTGCCTGCTTTGGCTCTGGGATGACCTATTACCCATTTTGAAAAGAAGATTCACAAAAGAAGATGGATAAGAAACTTTCCCTCCTTCTTCCTGGTAGTAGTTTAGGCACCCATGGCCAATGATTTTATCAGAAAGAGGCAACAAAGAGAATAGGGCAGCAAGTGACAATTATACTTGGATTACCAAGAGTAGCTGGTCAAACATGAAGGACAAAGAACCTGAATCTGCTTTTTTTCCTTAAAGCTACAGTAATATAAAAATAGAAAAATTAACAAACAGGAATATCAATTTTTGATAACAAGAATATTCTTGTGGATATGTTAAGCATGATCATCTTCAGCAGATGTATCCAGTATGAGGTGTAATGATAATGTGAATGACTCTTGCTAAGATTTATTTATTTATTTATTTATTTATTTTTCATAATTTATATGCCGCCCTTCTCCCCTCGGGACTCAGGGCGGCTCACAGCATATTAAAATAACACAACACTAACAACACAACACAACATTTCCCCTATAAAAGCCAATTAAAAACCAAATATTTGTAGCTGTGACATTATTAAAATCATTAAAAATTATCCCTATTTAAAATTC